GCTCTCTGCAGAAACGGGCATCACGCGCCTGGCAAGGGGGGGGGGGGGGACGGTAGGTAGCCTTGGTAGCTACCCCGGGCCGATATGTAAGGGGTCGTCTGGCGGGCAACGGTGTGGAGAGATAATGATAGCGTTTGAACTTAGTGTAGGTCAGATGATTCAGAGACATTATCAAGTGCTTGGGTGATTGTGTAACATATACAGGGCGTTGAACTGACGCGATGGACTTAGAATGGAATGCGAATGTTCTTGTGTAACACACCTGCAAAGAGGAAATATCAAGCCATTGGTGAGAAGGGAGATTTCGTCGTAGGTGTGTAGAATTTCCTTTGTCGAAGGGAGGTACAATTGGTGCGTAGCTGCAGTGAGTGATGTTGTTCTTCACTGACATTTGTTCCGGGACGTACTCAATCGCGACGTAGACTTCTGGAATGCTCTTTAGTCAACCTCAAGGCGCTGGTTTTGTTATGCATAGCGTTTATTCAGGTGAAAGAACTCCTTGACTCCTGGGTAATATCCAACGTCCCTAAACGCGTGCACTGCTGGTATTGATGGCTCCGAGATATCTGCGATATCATCCGGTGTGAAGTAGATGCCATTATCGGGTATTGCGCGTGCCTGTAACATGCCTCTTGGTATCTTTCCCAAGGTATCGCCTATTAATATTACTAACTGATTCGCCACGTCTCTGCATAACCGTAAGAGTCTTCCTCGCTTCAAGACTTTGTCGGCCGTTTGAGGGGATGAGCCTCCGTGTTGAAAACCCACTCATCCAAGCTCATGAGCTCCGGATCGGAGAAGATGAGGTAAAAGTACTTCAACGTTTCAGCGAAGAAGAAGCTCTCCATGGTATCCTCCTGCCGCGACTGACTATACGTCACATCGACGACGACGGCGTGAGCGTCATCGGTTTGTGTAGCCTTCTGCACGGCCTCGAACATGTCCCACGCTATATCTAGCAGGTCCGCCTTGCCGGTGACCCGGTACAGCACAAAGAGGCTCTCAATGGCCTCGGGACGCAGGTTGTAGTGAGCGTCGTCGATGCGCCAGAACCCCCTGGGCGCGTGGTGGCTGCTCTGCGCCACCCACTTCTGCTCGTCCCACTCGCACACCTCGACGGTGTCGCACTTGACGACCTGGGACTTCTCCGGCATGAGGCCGCTCTTGAAGGACTTGTACGCCCAGGCGCAACCCCGCGCGAGCTTGTCGCCGAGCTCGACGTCGTCGGGTATGTCAAAGAGCTTGCCCGCCATGGCGAACATGCCGCCGGCGAAGCAGGACAGGTGCTCGAGCTCCGAGATTTGGTCAATCTTGCGGAGCTTCTCGTTGACGATGGCGGTGCCGAGGAGCAGGATGTCGTCCTTCTTCGGCGTCATGGGCCGGTAGAGGAGGTGTCCCTTTGCCGCCTTGGCCGCGCCCCTGTACATCTTCTCATATGCCGTGTCCAGGCCGCCGAGGAGGACGTGCATCTTGGGTAGGTACTCGTAGAGCGAATCGCCGTCCCCGCCGAGCTTGAAGACGTTGTTGGTCGTCTGGAAGTCGTCGCGGACGTTGATGAAGTTGGGCCACATACCGGGCAGCAGGGTCTCGTCCTGGATTCGGTCAAAGGCCTTCTTGATGCGCTCGATGGCGTCGTAGAACTTGAAGTCGCCAGTCAACTGCGCAAGCCTGGTGAACTCGAGGGACATGCTGCCGATGGAGGCTGCGCTCTGGTAAGGGTCCGGTAAGACTTTTCCGGCTCGGAGCTCCTCGAAGCTGAAGCTATAAGGAGGGAAGCGGTTCGGTGTATCGAATGCCGCATAGAGCATGTTGGCGAGCTCAACAGCCTTGTCGAGGAGGACTTGCTCCTCGCTGAGATCATACGCGGACAGAAGCCCACCGAGGTACCGGACGTTTGTCTCGAAAATGTTGCATCTCGTCTCCGTCGCATTATTCCAGTCAATCGTGCTGATGTATTGGACGGCGTCATTGAAGTCGTCATACATGCCCATCAGCCAAAGAGTATCGAGAGAGTCAACCAGGGTGGCACCCCATCCGTTGTAGCGATTCTTTCCCCTCAACGAAAGGGGTTGCAATTCGTCGTAACCCCAAGCGTGCCTGGTGTATGATTGCCAGCTCTTCTTGAAGGCGTTCCGTACTTCATTGCGCCGGGAGGCCATGAGGCCAATGTCGAGGCCGATGTCTCTCTTCTTCAGACTGTCTGACCGGTCCGCGGCGAACTCGTATTGTATCTTCGGAAGCGAGAGGGGTTGGCCGTTAGGAAGCCTCGTCATCTCAGCCAGAGGGACTGGATGCTTCTGTGGATGTGTAGACCAGTCATAGCTTTTCCTAATGGTAGGTTTGGAGATATCTTCGTAGCTGCTAGGAACATCTTCAAGCTGCACCGAAGTAACATCCCGTAGTAGTAGAACCGAGAGCACTACAAAGACGACGAGCAGCGCGAGTACCCGGTAGGTCGGCGGGGAGTGGTTTCGCAACTGAAATTTGGCGACCATATTGGACGAAGAATAGACAAAATCGAGGCAGGAGTGACATGCAGAAGACCAGGGGCGGCGGGAGGGGAAAATAGGCGCGGCAGACATTTTGTAGTAGGGGCTGACTGTCGTCACTCGGATATCGACCGTGAGAGAGGACCTTTGGGGAATTTGGAGCTCCTGTTGCTTCTTGCGGCGCTTGACGTCTCGAAGGTCGGCTGTCACTCTGGTGCGTCCCTTTCCATGAAACACGAGGGGTGACCCATGATTTTGTGCTTGACTGCGTCCTTGGATTGTCTGTGCAAAGGGATGAAGGGGGGGTAGTGCCGTAGGGATAGAGGGGAGGTAGATCACTCGGACTGTTAACGATAGAATCTATGTGTGATGCTATGAACTAACACGCGATTGGACCTCGTTCCCTTTGGGAGGCTGAGTAGACTTGGTTCAAACTGGAATGACGTTTGGCTAAGATCGAGGCTAAGGCAGATAGCTCTGGTCAACTCCGCGAATGATACGCAACATGGCTCCCTAAAGCGTTGCACAAAATGCTTCCGGAAGAGACAACTGTTTGGGGAAGAATCCAAAGCAGAATCCAAAGGGAGGACCACCTATGTCATTATGAATCGTCGACTAGTTCTTAGAGGCCGGATACATGTGCCATTCCAACTGCCTTAAACCTAGATAGAATGCTCACCACGAGTCGTCGCACTCTGACTTAGGCAGGTAGGTGGAGATGACGGCTTAAGCCAACAAGAGCGCGTCGTTTCAAGGCACTTGACATGTTTCAAGGAACGTGGGCTTTGGGAGGAAACTGACTGAACTGAGTTGACGTCGGCCGAAGGCGCATGCTTGAGTGGAGAATGGGAAGTGGGAAGAACAGGCGACTTGTGGGGGAGTGGCTGAAAACGGCGGTCCCGAATCTGAGACAGTGGACATACCCCACCGGGCCGAGCATTTTCGGTATTTTCCACTTTTTGACGGGAGCAAATCCGGGTACCCACCACCATGAGCCACACTCTGGCAGGTCTGTGGCTGGAGCTTTACCTGCACTACCCTGCTTGACCGCCTAAATTTTTCAAATTTCTGCCGCATCCCACCTTGCCTAGGCGGCCCAGGATCGTCGGTGCACTTTGGTCGCCTCCAGGGAACGGCTGACCAGCTTTTTTTCGCGAAAGAGATTTTGTTGTTTCCGCAACCTCAACGCCAAACAATCATGTCTTCTATGCGCAACGCCGTCCAGCGTCGCTCCCACAGGGAGCGCGCTCAGCCTCTGGAGCGCCAACGTTTCGGCCTCCTCGAAAAGCACAAGGTTCGTCATCCAAGACGCCCTGCAACAGCTGCTCGTCGAGATAGCTTTACTGACTGCTCATTCTACGCTCATAGGACTACTCCCTCCGTGCCAAGGACTACAACAAGAAGAAGGCCACGATCAAATCCCTGCGCGAAAAGGCCGCCGATCGAAACGAAGATGAATTCTACTTTGGCATGCTCAGCCGCAACTCCATGGGTTCGCGCCTCAAGGACGGCAGGAAGTGGTCCGGTACCGTCGCCGGCGACCGCGGCAACAAGGCCATGGACATGGACACGGTACGGCTGCTCAAGACGCAAGACGTCGGCTACATACGCACCACGCGCAACGTCATCTCCAAGGAGGTGAGGCGTCTGGAGGAGCAGATTGTCCTGATTGGCGGCATCGATGCGGCGAATCACAACGGCGACGATGACGACCTAGACTCCGACAGTGATGCCGAAGAAAGTGTCAGGAAACCTACGGGACCAAGAAAGATTGTCTTCCTGGATGCTGCCGAGGCAGAAGCCAAGGCAAAGTCCGCTGAGAAGGCAGCGATGGACCTGGACGACGAGGCTGAAGACGGGTTTGAAGGGTTCGATGATGCCGAGGGTGACGATGGCGACGAAGATGCCACGGAAAGCAGGGAAAAGCAGCTGGCGCGGTTACGATTGCAACTACAAAACGCCAAGAAGAAGCTCAAAGTCTTGACCAAGGCGGAGCAGGGTCTCGAGGTCCAGCGGGCAAAGATGGCCAAGAGTGCGACCTCGGGCGGCACAACAAGAAAGGGCAAGAAGATTATGGTCAGGGCGCGCAAGAGGTGAAAGGATTTTCCAAGATTCAGCGTCTTTCAAAAGAATGGTTGGCGAACACAAAAAGCATGGTTGAAATTGGTGTTTTTGGTTGTTTTTTTTATCGTGTCTTCATTTCAAATCCTAACATTCTGAGCGGCGGCTACGGAGAAGGATGGACATTCCCCATATGCTTGCTCAGAAAAGTCATCATGCGATACCCAAGGACACCCCGGAGTATAGATCTACATGTACAAAGAAGGAATATCATCGCTCCCTATCCTATTCCCGGATAGGGTCTCATAAGGAAAATTCCCATTATTCCATCAACCCCTTAAACCCGTGAGAGACGAAACCAGTACGAGAACAATGCATCAGCTTAAAAGTGGTATCTCATTTCCTTCCTTATCATTCCCGTATTCATCATTCTTCTCTTTTGCTTGGAGGTCACTTGGACTTGACACCGACGCACCTGGCAAGCCCCTTGACAATGGCAGCAAGGGCCTTGAAGCCAATCGTCAGCAGCCAGACAAGACACTTGAACAACCCAGCCACGACTTTGAAGAGCGCTCTTAAAGGCCAAGGCAGCCTGTCGCGCGTCTCCTTGCCAACCTGCTCCAGCTTCGCAAAGCTGCTGTCCTGGCTCTCGACGTCAATCTCAAACTCCTCCATCTTACCCCTGCGCGCCGCGGCGGCGGCCCTCTTCTTCTCCTCCCTCTTGCTCAACCGGCTATCGCGGCCGCTGCTACCGACAGGATCATGCGGCGCCGGGGGCGGCTCAAAGGTCTCGACCTTTGTGTTCTTCTCGTCCGCCGCCGCAACGAGCATGAGTGCCGCCACGGCGACGTCGACGATGAAGAAGCTGTCAATCTTTGCGGCGATGGCCGTGTCGACCTCGAGGTAGCCGCCGCCCGTGCCGTCGCGCGTCAGCTTGGCGAGGTGCTGCGGCGACTCGTGGTGCTCGAGCGTGTACTCGACCCGGCTCCAGGCGGGCGAGCGCTCAATGGTGACGCAGAAGGGGGTGGCGAGGGCCGGGTGGACGAGGAAGTGCGAGCGGGAGTCCTCGTCCCAGACGAGGCGGGCGCACTCCGTCTCAGCCGTCATGATGGCGTTCATGTCGCCCGGCTTGTCGAGGGCCATCTTGGCGGCCGCCAGCGGGTACAGGAGGGCCACGAGGCCGTCGTTGGGCGGGTGCTTGCGGGATTCCTCCTCCAGGGTGGTGGTGAGGACTTCCTGCCAGTGCTTGCTCTCGGCGCCTTTGCCGTTGTTGCTGTTGTCCTTGTGACCGACGACACCGGAGAGGATGCTGCTCGCTGACGAACTTGCCATTGGGTTCGGGGCCTTGTAGACCTTGGCGGGGTCGTGACGGCTGAGGGTGACGTATGCTGATGCGGACGTGGGATCGAGCCGGATGTTGTAGAAGGGCTGTGATGTTGAGGAGAGTGTGTACACTGGTGCATCCTTCTCCTGGGATAGCTTCATGCAGTACACTCTGCCTTCTGAAGGGGGTGCTTTCCAGCCGTTGGAGACCTTCCACAGGCTCTTCATGTGCTCATTCGATGATACACTCGGGATGATGGGAGGCTCGATCTGTCTCCTTGGCCATCTTTGCGCTGAGCCTCCACTCAGGGGACTCCTCATGGGAGGACTCCTGTGCTGGTCATTTTGGCTTTCCGCTTCCTGAGGGTTTGGATACCATGTTGTCCGATTAATCACGGCCCGTGGAATATGAGTTGGGCTTGTTTGCGTGGGGAAGTAGTCTTGCTGGTTGAGAGGCCTTTCCGGGTTGTACTGAGGGAAGATAGATCGCAGAGCAGGTTGCTCTTGCGAAGACGACGACGGCTCCTCCGGGAACGGTAGCTTTGCTATCGAGCTTCTGGACCGCGTACTATTATTCCTTACAAGCGTATGTGCTTGTGAGAAGGCGGTGTCTGACCGGGGCGGGATATCGGCGACGGGAGGAGGCCGTTGGATGGGCGATGCCTCCGTGGCCGACGCCGGGGGCAGGGCCGGCAGCTCGCGACTACGCGGCGAGGGCTGTTGATATTGCTGCTGTTGCTGCTGCTGCTGTTCACCTGATGGGGCTTGGCGGATGCTTTGTGGAGTTTGCGATCGCTCAATTGGTGTTTGGACTCTCTGTTGCGGCGTCTGTCTGCCGTGACGCGGTGGAGACGCTTGATCGACATGATGAACGCTCTCGGGAGACACAGCCCGGGGCCGCTCACGCGATTCTGATCTGCGAGTTCGAGATGCCGGTCTCCTTATTGTTGGGGGCTTCGAGTTGGGGTTTGGAAAGAGTGAGTACCCTCCAGAGGGTGGCTGTGTCGACGATGACATGCTGGGCTATGCTGGGGCGGGTTATCTCGAATCGAACGTTGTCGTTGAGGTTTTCTCCCCCGGCGTGTTAATGATATTCAAATCTGGTCACGAAATATGGGGGAGGGGGGGGAGTGGCCTGAAAGGAATGAAGAACAAGTAGTCCAACTGCTACCGATGCATGATATCCAACCCAGTAGGCACCAAGCAAACAACAAACAAGTTTATTATTGCAGTACTAGGTAGACAACACAGATGAAGGGAAGAGAAAAGCCGTGTAAACATACGACTACCAAACGATACCAAGAGAGTGTATATACGAATTACCTTACTCTCGTCCCCCCTTTGAAACAGCGGCACTACTGCGCGTGGTACAGGGCGGCAGGTCACCCACGGGAAGGCCTGGGTAAGCGCTGGGCTTCTCGACAGACGGGCTGCGGCGAGTGGGTGAACCGTGAAGCCAAAGAGAGGATGGAGGGGCGGCCGGAAGGGGGGAAAGGACGGTGGTTGAGATAGGTAGACGAAAATAGATTGTGAAAGGTTGCAGGCTGGGCCAATCAGCCAGACAATCACACTGCATTCTAGGCGCCGAGACCAGGGTGGTGAGAGACAGGCGCGCGGGGTTGGTTCGACGGGAGACTTCGTGCCATTGGCCAAGCTCCCCAAATTGGCTGGTCACTCTATTGATCTTGTTGAACTCTGACCGCCTTTGATGTTCCCTTTAGGCCTGGGGTTCCTGAGGATTTGCGAGAATGCCGACGGTGCAAGGTCTTCGGGCATCGAAGCGAGAATGTAACGCGGGAGACTACCCTGTCCTGGCCGGGGCCGTTGAGGCACCTTGCATCCGCCGATCGTGTGGGAAATGCTCAAAGTGCGTGTCCACGTTCCACATGGCTTTGAAGGAAAAAATCATCGATCCATCTCTGTTTCGACAAAGGTCAGCTTTTCGGTCCAGGAAGTCATAGGTCTACCCGTGAGACAACTCGTAGGTTTCGGTCTTGCGCCTTGTAGAGTGGTGAGCCGGTCACGAGTAATCTCGAGTGTGCAAGAAACGTTTCCAATGGTGGAGGCGTCTCAAGGTACTTTAGTTCAGTGCCTAGCTCAAGGGTTGCTGTGAAGCACCAATGGGTGGAAGAAAGGTGAAGGCGATCGGGTAAAAGACCGGCCGTGGTCGGCTGGCTGATGAGAGATTCTGTCGGCTTCTCGACCGGAGCCCTCGGGCTCGGGCGATGGTTCTGGGGCCGGGCGTCGCCGATACGGTCTCCGATGGTCGGCGCACTATATTCTATTGTTGGTGGACCCGGCTTCAGAGTAGGTCGATTTCGCTTCGTGTAAGAAGCTGACTTAATTTTCATAGTACTATTCACAACTTCTGTCATCGACCATTTTGACACTGTCGGCGTACGCGTTGCCCCCAATATTCAGCAGGTATACACTTTTGCGAGATGGCACAAATCGTAGTGATTGGGTACTTAAGCATCCCTCGTCTTCTGCAGATTTGGCTGATCGCTAACACGAGACGAGACAGAGCCGGCGTGATCGGGTTGAGCACTGCTGTCAGGCTTCAGCAGGATGGTCACAAAGTAACAATAGTGGCCAAAGATTTCCCCGGTCCATTTGAGACCGTTGACAGCAAAGCTTCAATTAACTACACCTCGCAATGGGGCGGCGCTCACAACCGTTGGGTCATACCGGCCAACGAAATGGAACAGCGCGATCATGCGATGGCTCTCAGAACGTTTCGGCACATGGAGTCCCTGGTGAAGAGCAATCCTGAAGCCGGTATTACTTTCATGCCTGGCATTGAATACCTCGAAGATCCTCCAGCACAGTACCAAGCTCTCACCGAGGAGAAGGCCAAGAGCCTGGGACTGGTAGATTTCCGGCGCCTGAGTCCGGCCGAATACCCAGATGACAAGGTGAAGTGGGGATGCGAGTACAAGACATGGTGTGTAAATCCCATGATCTACTGCTCGTTCCTCCTTCGCAAGTTCTCATGGAATGGCGGCCAAATCTTCCACAGAGAACTCAGTGATCCTCGCGAGGCATTCTCAATGAAAGAGTTGCCGAACGTGAGACATATAGTCAACTGCTCTGGTTTCGGATTTGCTGACCCAAATTCATTCATCACGAGAGGTATATCAGCCACTGACATCCACCTTATTTTGATGACTTTGCTGATGAGGTTCTCCAGGTCAAACGTGTGCTGTAGCCAACTTCAGCCCAGCAACAGTGACAAGACAGAATGCTGATGGAACTTGGACATTTTGCGTGCCTCGAAATTTCGATGGCGGCACGATCGTGGGTGGCACAAAGGAACCTGACAATTGGGACACTGAACCGTCGCCAGAAGTGCGGGAAAAGCTCCTCAAACACTTCGCTGCTACATATCCCAAGATCCTCGGGGACGATGGTGAGTTTCGCGTCCTCAAAGATGTCGTAGGCCGGCGGCCGACTCGAAAGGGCGGCATGAGGCTGGAAAGAGAAGAGGTGGGAGAGAAGCGCACCATAATCCATGCCTATGGTCTTGGGGGCAGGGGGTTCGAGATGTCCTGGGGTGTAGCTGAGGGTGTACTTGAATTATTGGGAGACGCGAAATTCACTCCGCGACTTTAGATACGAATGCATCGTGCTAGAGCATCGGTGTAGAGATCGAATACCGAGTTTAGACAACGTGCTTCGGGAAACCTCGATCAATATTCTCTCAATGTACAATACCTATGCATGGTCATCAAGTACCATGGAAAGAATGGAAATATGAAGGTCAAGCGATATCGGCGAGGCCATCTGATTGGCCCATTTATGACCTGACTGAAAGCGAGAGAGCGTTAGAGACGACGGTGCAGCTTCGGCCGGTACCTGCATGGCGTCACCCGGTGCTGCGTGAGTGGTGGAAGTCCTGGCTTGGCAGCATGTCGCAAAAGATAAAAAATAAAAATTCTCAATTGTTGGAGGCAGAGATTCTATTCGCCTGTATGACCAAGAAGAGAAGAGAAGAAATTGGGTTCACCTCGCTGGCAACTGCCATCCCATGTCCCTGCCTGTAATTAACGTGCCTACCGAGCCTACCCCGCGCTCCGATAAGCGGTGAAATAATCAGTTCCCTACGGATACAGGACAGAAGAGTCACACACAACCTGGAAGGTGGGATGTTTTGGAGTCATTGCCCCACACCCAACTTTCATCATCCTCAACCTTCCCGCATCGAACTTTCGTAGCTTCCTCTCCAACAACAGCAATCAATTGTAGCCGCAAACAGCTCAATTCAAGTCGCAAACATGGCCCACACTATCCTTCACCTCCGATCCGAGACCAAGGTGTGTAATGATTCTGGAAACTAACATTGACTTCAAGTACTCGGAGATAGCTAACTTTTGACGTCAGCCCTTGGAACACAGGAGCGCCCTCACACCCGCCACTACTCGTAAGCTTGTCGAGGCTGGCTACGAAGTTAGAGTTGAAAGGAGCCCTGTAAGTTGTCGTCGATCTACGATATATCGCTCGTGAGGAACGAATCATTGACCCGACGATCCCCAGGTTCGCATCTTTGACGATGCCGAGTTCGAAGCCGCTGGCGCAACCCTTGTGCCCGAATATTCCTGGGAGTCAGCCCCATCGGACGTGATCATCGTCGGTCTTAAGGAGCTTGAGGAGAAGGAGTTCCCTCTCAAGCACGTTCACGTCACATTCCTCCACGTCTACAAGGTATACAAGCCCCAATTGAGCTGGGTACCACCAGAGAGCTCGCTGACCAAGCTATAGAACCAAGGTGGCTGGGAGAAGACACTCGGCCGTTTCCCCCGTGGCGGCGGTACTCTTCTCGACCTCGAGTTCTTGGCCAACGAGTCCGGTCGCAGAGTCGCAGCCTTCGGTTTCCACGCTGGTTTTTCTGGCGCTGCTCTTGCTCTCGAGAACTGGGCCTGGCAGCTCACCCACCCTGGCGAGCCCTTCCCCGCCGTCGAGGCCTACCCCAATGAGGATGCTCTCATCGTGGATGTCAAGAAGGCCTTGGACGAGGGTATCGCCAAGGCTGGTCGCAAGCCTAGAGTCATTGTGATTGGTGCTCTTGGACGTTGCGGCTCCGGTGCCGTTGAGATGGCCAAGAGAGCCGGTGTTGAGGATATCGTCCGTTGGGTAAGTCATTCCCAATTTTGTCGTCGCAACATGTACTAACATGGAGCTGCAGGATATGGAGGAGACCAAGAACCCCGGCCCTTACAAGGAGATCACGGATGCCGACATTTTCGTCAACTGCATCTACCTCAGGTACGTCTCTTTGGGAATAACTTCAAACTTGAGCTTATACTAACACATGTTTTCCATAGCCAACCTATTCCTCGTATGTTACTCCCCTTTTAACCCGGTGTCAAGCATCCGTTGGCATGCTCTCTTAAAACATGACCAACTCTTGGAGTCATGATCATGAATTCGTTGACACAGCGTACGATTGGCTGAGCCGCAAGCTGACCATGCTCGTCTAGCTTTCCTCAACCGCGAGTCTCTGCAGGTCCCCGGCAGAAACCTAAGCGTGATTTGCGATGTTTCTGCTGATACCACAAACCCCCACAACCCGAGTAAGTCACCTTCCTACGGCCCAGCCAACTAGCCAATGCTGACAATGCGTTTACCTAAGTCCCTGTCTACACCGTGGCTACCACCTTCGACAAGCCCACTGTCCCCGTCGAGGGACTGGAGAACCCTCCCCTGAGCGTCATCTCCATCGACCACCTTCCCTCCTTGCTGCCGAGGGAGTCTGTAAGTTTGACGACGTTGAAACAGCATTCAAGGGAAGTGTAGCTGACCCCCACGACAGAGCGAGGCCTTCAGCAACGACCTGCTGCCTACCCTCCTGAACCTCAAGGACTGGCGCAACGATTCCGTCTGGGCCCGCGCCGAGAAGCTCTTCCAGGACAAGGTCGCCCTGCTCCCCGCCGAGCTTCAGAAGAGAGAGGCCTAGTGGACCCCTATTCGGTCGTACCTTTGTTTCTAGAGTGGAATTTGGCGTTTTCAGGGGTGGAGGATCTTATGAAGAAAACGGGCATATTCAAGCCGAATGAACGGCCAAGCCGGGTTTGCCAAATAGATCAAAAAAGCTTAGATCATGAGTGGACAGACTCGAGAAATGATACAAACAGCTAGAGCTGAAAACTTAGGGCCCTTATGGTATCTGTGACAATGACCGCCATCTCTAGGTTTCGGTCCCCCTTTTTGGATTGATATAATCTACATGATGTGAAATATTGTGTATTTGTACAAGCCAAATGGCCGCGCCATAGAGCAGGGTGTCCCAAGCCGTAAATCCAGAACGCCCAACGTATGCATCTCCCTCTCCCCTTTCTTTCTTAACACGGGGAAGTTCCGCGCCCTCCCCCGAATGAACCCTCCCCCAGCCTTTGAGTATTCATCACCGCCTCTCCTCCGCCGCCTCAACACTCTTTCGATCCCTCGCAGCGTACCCGCCCACGCGCTCGCCCAGCCTCATCTTCTCCTCCTCCTTCCTCCTCGTCTCGGCGTCCTTCTCGGGCAGGCCCCACCACTCGCGGATAAAGTCCTCCTGCTGCGCTTTTTTCACGGCCTTGCGCTCGCGCTCCTTTTGCCGCTCCATGCGCTTGGCGAACCACTCCTCGCGCGCGGCGTCGTGCTCCTGCGGAGTGGCGTGGGCCTTCATGCAGCCGTTCATTGCGCGGAGCTGGGTGCGGCAGACGAAGGAGACGGTGAAGGTGCGGTTTAGGGCACAGTCTGCAAAGGCTGTTTTTTGAGGAGGGAAGTGGTTGTTAGTTTATCTACTAGTACCGGGCGTTTTTTCTTATGGAAGCTTCTTGAGGTGGAGGATTTGTAAGGGGAAGGACTGGGGGTTCGGAAGGGCTGGGGGACGGAGAACGAGGTCGTCTCTGAGAGCTGTATAGAGAGAAAGAGAGATAGGGACGTATGTGTAGGGAAAGACGGCAACGAACCTTTGATCTCGGGTGCGCAGGCGTTTCGCACGCGCGCGTGGTAAATGTCTCTGATCTGCGCCTCCTGGGAGGCCGAGAGGGGGAGCGGGTTGCGCGAGGGCATCGGCAGGCCCGCGGGGGCTCCGCCGGTCGGGTTCTGAGCCGCCATCGCGGCCATCAATCGGTGGAAGAAAGGTTACGGGAAGTGGAAGAGTGTCCGCTCGTTCGGATCGGCCGTCTGGTCGGTCAAGGGACTGGGGAAGAGTTCGGTACGCCGGCGTTTTCGGAGGGTCGGGCGGCCCGGTTTGTTTCTTCCGGTGAAGTTCGTACAGAGGTTGGTTTATGGATTCGTCAAACGGCAACGAGGCTTTGGAAACCGATCAGACGTCCTCGTTGTATGAGGACAAATCGTGTCACTTGAGTTTCGTTCAATGGTCCGTCGGCAGATTCCCAGAGTGCGGCGGGTTTGCGCGGGTGGTTCGATCTGGGTGGGTAAATCTACAGCTACCCGTTCGTTACTCTCGCGAAATGTGACCCGTGCTTTCGTCCGGAGCTTGCCAATTGAGACTTTCTGCCGCCGACCATCGGGCTCACCGCCTGCCTTACTTGGTGCCAATACCAAGCAAACGTCAAACGCAATAAATATCATGATAGTAGCCGCCCGAACAGCATTTGGCGTAAGCACATTGAGGTGTCACAGTACTCCGTAATACTCTCTAAATAAGTATTACCTACAAACAGTAGATTGGGCCGGTATCTGGTCATTTTCACTCGATCATCTGTGTTCAAGACAATGTTGCTTTAAGAACGCCTGATCTTTTATTTTTAATGATTTTTGCAAAACACTACATCGCTCCGGCTGTCTGACCCCGACAGATCCGCTGGATTCACTCATCTTTCTTGTCTTCTCCCTCGACCTCACCCTCAGGGGTAGCCTGGTGGAACTCAAGGCTTTCTCGGTTATCCTTGCCTTTCTTCTTCATAGAAAACTTGCTGCTCCAGCCAGAAATTCTGCTTTCCTTGGCGTCTCTGGATTTGGCCGGGCCTGCGGACGGGCTGCTGGTGACGCTTTCATAGCTTCGTCCAAGTAAACCCTCCTCGCCAAAGTCGTCAATGTCACCAAAGCTGGATCGATCCGCAGACAAGTTCTTGTCCGAGTTCGTGGTGCTCCCAGGTCCTTTCTTAAAGAGACCCGAGTCCTTGCTTAGACGAGACGAAAGACTGAACTTGCTGGAACTGCCTTTCCTGAAGAGCTTTCTGTAGGCGTTCTCCTGGTCCTTGATGTTGGAGTCAGAAAGCGTGTTGGACACTGCCCTATCAAGTGTCAAAGACTCCCGAGATTCAGTGACCGACGCTTGTGTGTGAACAGAGAAGGCATCGCGGGACTTTCTGGACTCTGTCGGAGAGGCATCGTAGCCTTGCGGCAGGTCTAGGCTGGGCGTGGAAACATCCCTCGTCTTGCCTTTCTCCTTTGCGTCCTTGTCTTTGGCTTTGTCCTTGGCTTTATCCTTCGACTTTGACTTGTCCTTCTCTTTGCCCGAGTCACTTTCTTTATCCTTACTGCGGAATAGCCCCCCAATAGAGAAGGTCGGCGCTGCTGGGTTCAAGCTCTTGCTCAGCAAGGATTTGGTGTCCGAGTTCTGTTTGCTGGCTGGTGGTCGGCTGCCAATGACGCCAACCTGACTTGGCGAGACTTGGGGATCGTTCAAGGCTTCGTGATCCAGGATTTCGTCCTCGGCTGACGCCAGTGTCGTTTTGAGAGCCGCTGGCGAGCCGTGAAGGGAAGGTCGTCTGGATGGAGTCCGTGACGCCCAACGCCCATCAGCTGGTGACCAAAGTCGGTTTCCTCGATCAGCTGGATGATTCCATATGGATCCGCTGTCGGTGGACGGTCGTGGCAAGTCCGCAGAGGCCATGGAAGCCGGTCTGGGGCTGCTTGGATCTCGGTCCGTGTACGAATTCCATGGTATCAACCTGCGAGCCGATGAAAACATGCTGCGTCCCAGGTTCGATGCACTCGCCGCCTCAAGAGTGTCAGGTCCAGCAGAGTTCCGGTTCTGGGTGTACGACGAGAAGCTGGTTCGGCGTCGATTGGCACCATCCAGATCATCGGTCTGTCGAGGAAAGGACTGACTCTGGCCGTGCTTTAGGCTGCCCAACATTGGACCACCGTCATCAGCAGCTTTAGAGCCTTTAGTTCTGTGCCAATGAATCAAATCCGTGAATCGGTGTCCATTTGCAGCTGGCGATGGCTGTCCCCCGGGAGAGGACGTGATGTCTTTGAGGGACGCGGGATCACCGTTGTCAGGTACAAAGGGTGGGAAAGCGGTGACATGCGATGATCCAGGGGGGCTAGAGGGAACACTATTCGAGCGTCTGGATGATCCTGGCGACTGAGCGTCATCCTCATAACCGGGAATAAACGGGCTTCTGCGAGAGAGAGAGTCGGGGCTGCTAGGTTCGTCGTCACCCAAGATGCCAGAAGGCAGGAGAGCAGCCGCCGTAGGACTGAGTGGCGCGTTCCCTGTGAGAGCCCTAATATCAGCATCGGAGAACTGGTCGCTCCCAAAGGCGTCGCCCCCGGGCATGTCCAAGAAATGTGAGAATGGGGCTCGACTGGTGAACCCGATTGGAGGGTCGAAGGGAGAATCCGAGGCTGAGAAAGGACCCGTGGGCGATGCGACGGCGTTGGGAAGAGCATTGCCGGTGCGGCTTCGACGCTTAATTTGTGCCGAGGCGTTCGGGTCGAATTCGACGCCGGAAGAATTCGCCTGATTGTAGAACTGCATGCTCTGTTGGTTCTGGGCGTATACTTGGGCATGTAGGACGTGGATGTGACCCTCAAACTGTTGAGCCTTCCTATTCTCCATGATGAGTTGACTCTGAAGTTCTCGGCGCTTCATCTCGAAATCTCTCTTCATTTTCCGGTCGTCCTCTCGCCAAGTGTCGTCTTCCTCGCCACCAGGCAGCTTCCTGCGTGCATCCTCAAGCTCTTTCAGTTGTTCCTTCTTTTCCTTGTATTCGGTCTCGAGTTGGGAATACTCGTCTTGCAAGGCAGAGTTTTCTTCATCCAAGTGCTTGATCTTGAGATCGCGGCTCTGCGCAAGACTTTCCTTTTCCGATGCAAACCCGTCGCGAGTTTTGCGCATAGTTTTGGCTTCAGCGATACATTTCTCAATGTTATCCATCGCCTTCTTGCGCTTTTCTTGCTTCTCCTTCAACAGGTTCTCCTTCCGCGCCTTCTCCTTGGTGGCCTGTCTCATCTGTTCGCCGGTAGACTTGACCTTTTGCCTCAACTGCGCGGTGTTATCGTCCTTCTCTTTCTGAATCTTCTTTTTCTCCTCCTTTTCCTTTTTCAACCGCTCTTCGAGCTGTCTGAACTCGCTTTCTTCGGATGCATGTAAGGATGCTGTCTCCACAAACTCCTTCCTCGACCGTTCCAAGGTGTCGGCTAGTTCCTTGAGCGACGCCTCAGGGTTGTCGCTAGAAAAATCCTTGATTGACGGCTGCTCCTGACTTGCTATGGACGGGGAGTGCCTGCGATTGACAGTGTTGCGTCTCTGGCCGGAAGTGCTATCTCGTGCAGCGGCGGATCCGCCTTCGAGAGACGGTGCTGCTTCGATGGTGGGCACCTGGCTACGATTGCCATTATCTTCGATGCACGGAGTTTGTCCTGGTCGCGGATCTTGATCTTGGAAACTGTCGGGTAGTCTCGAATTGCCCAGTTCTGGCCGTCCATCAGATCGATAGGTACGCAGTCTTATAACCTGGCTACCAGCCTGGAAATTATTCGGTCCAACGGCAATGACACGTATGTTATAGCAGTGATTGGGCCTCAAACCCGTAACAGTAATAGCCGTCTCCTCCTGCCTCGATTCGCCAACTGTGAAGATGTGTCAGTTTCGTCTTCCATGACCACCGAACGAGTCAAACAAAGACCGACCATTTACGCCATTGACCTGAATCAGGAATTTCTGCACGGGTCGGTTGTGTGTTGGTCGCGTCCAGTTGAGAGTCGCCGCGTCGGGTCGAATTCCGGCCAAAGATACATCGGGGGCCTCGGGAACGTCCACTCCAAGGATGCTGATGAGATCGGTCGTTGGTTTCCAAAGAGTCTGCCAGGCGCGGTGGAGCAGCCTTCACAATGTCAGAAAAAGGTCGTCAGAATGATCGCACGTATCGGGAAAAGTGGTAGCAAACAGCAGGACAAGGCGGGGAGGGGAAGAGGCGCGTGGGTGAAACTGACCAAATGACTGCGGCGAGAGTCACCAGCATACTGGCATGCCGCACAAGCAACTCATCCAGACTCCAATAACGAATACCCTCACGGGTGTAGTGTACGGACCAAGCGAGACAAAGTTGTGCGTAAATGGGAGCGATAACCCAGAATGTTGCAAGGCTGGCGGCGGCCAGAACGAACTTTTGGAAACGGCTATTCGGTCGCTTGAGCCACCAGGCGATGAGGGAGCTTACGAGGAGGAATTTCATGAACAGGGTCCATAACATCGCCGCTGGCAAACGGGAAAGAAAAGAGAGTGGAAGTTGCGGAAGAGTGGAAGAAAAGCGAAGGAGGAAACCTTTCGCTAGTCCTCTCTGGCGCGGTCGGTTGGGAGGAAGGATATGTCGGTCAAGAAGGGAATAAGAAGGAGGGATGAAAATCTCGGCAGTTGTGTTCTCAGCGGCGGCGATGTTGACAAGCCCAGGCACAAGTCGTACTACCAGTATTGCAGACTCAGACTCAGGCGCTGCTGTTCGGTTCACAGTGGCACTGTCCACCAGTCCCCTGTACCGTGTGTCGCGGCTAGCAGCCGATACTGTGTGGATGGGGGCAATTGGGGGGTTACCTGACACTGACACGCAGCCCAGGCGGCATGGCAGCGGCCAGCTAGGGGGAAGCTGGTACTGCTCGACGCTGGCGCTGGGGGAGATGGAGGGGCGGTAAGGCAAGCAGTGCCGGCCGCCTCGAAAAGATCGGGATGGGAGGGGCATTGCCGCATTGCATTGGACACCGGCAGGGGTGCAAAAGGGAGGCACGAGAGTCTTTTCCCCGTGAGGCGAATGACGGACAGAGCGAGTGAAAGAGTGTGCTCTATTGTGTGTGCGTGTGTGTACGATGTACCTAAGTGATGTGCATCGTCAGTAAGTGTGTCTGGCGGAGAGAGTGACAGGAAAGGGGAAAGACAGAAAATTCAAGGTTGATCCAGAATTGACCGGATCTTGTTGATTTATGTCTCTAATTCACGACATGTATTTATTTACAATTATGGTTTTAGCCTCGTGGTATTCGAACGGATATCAAAGGTTAATTGCCTATATCTTGCAAGGTGCTTGTTCATCCTTCCTCTAAAGTATGGGGAAGCTGCCTCCTGTTCAGCTCTCCATGCACCCTTTCGAAGGGAGTAGCTAAGAGAGTGCAATGTGCCTCTGAGCACTGCATGAAGCATAATTACCACATGGCAGGCCACGCTGTCGACATCTCATTGAGTACTGGTGATGAGGGCTGGCGGCCTACAGATCGCCAATGGTAAGACTGTGGTGTTGAAGAGGTAGTCGCCGTTGCAAGCGTCTTGACGTAGGTACCTTACCTTCAGCCTCAGGTTCTTTATCTTCAACCTGAAGCGCTGTGCCTTGCACATGGCACGGCGCCTTCCATTCTCCTACCCGCACAGCCGCGACACTCACTTACCAGTTTCTGCTCGTCTCATTCTCGGAAATCGGCAACCTCAAGAATACAGTAACTCTGGTTGAGTTACTACTTCATGAGATAGTCAGAATGCCAAGATTTGGTCACAGCATGGGCGCGTTTTCTGGTTTTCTGGTTCCTGGTGCTCCCGCTAATGAATTAGATTCACTAGAAGCAAGGATAAGCGCCACGCCGCACAGCCCCAATTCTCACGTCCGACGTAGGCGCACATCGTCAAGTTTCTTACGTGAGCCGAGGATTCAGCTTCATCATCATCATCATCAACCCGCAAAGCTTCTGCTCGTATCCGGGACCCTCCCACGCCACTAACTCTGCCTCTCCCGCCCGCAGGATGCTGCACCTGAAGACGCCTCCGGGGCCATGTGCTGATGTGGCTGGTTATTGAGTGTCCCCTGCAAACGAGTTGGAGTGAGGGGCAACCAGACGAAAGCGACCTATCAAGCCCTGAAGACGTCTTGCGGCCTTGGAATGAGGGGGGTCCCATCCCACCAAGTCTGAAAGCAACCCGACTTGTCCAATCCATCGTACCGGGCAATTGGCGGGTACCTTGTCATCCCAGCAAGCAGCTCCCACTCCAGCACTATATTTGGACCATTGAGGGGTCCTCGGCGGGGACTACAAGTAAGGTGAGCTATCCTTCTGGCGACCACACTTGTTTACTTCCACTCCGCCTTTTGCTTCTCCTATTTATTTCCACGTCAAAACTGTAGTGTTTACCAAATCAGCTCGTTTCCTGACCATCCTCTAGCTCCAATTGTCGTGCTCGAAAGCTCTTCCGCCGCGACATCCTCTTGGCCCATCATGGATGCCATCAAGTCCGCTCTGAACATTGGCTCCAGCAAGCCTGCCGCCACCGAGCCCTCTGCCGAGCAGCTTGCCCAGCTCAAGGAGAAGTACACCAGTGCTGGACAGGACCACGTCTTCACTTTCTACGATGACCTGCCTACCTCCGAGAAGGCGACCCTCTTCGAGCAGCTGTCTGGCTTCGACCCCGAGCACATCAACAAGATCACCGACCGCGCTCTGAACCCTCCCAAGACCGAAGATGCATCCACCCAATCCGGCCTCGAGCCGTTGCCCGAGTCCGCCACCGCTAGTATCCTCGATTCTAAGACTGAAGACATTGAGAAGTGGTATCAGTCGGGTCTCGAACTGATCGGACAGAACAAGGTGGCCGTTGTGCTGATGGCAGGCGGTCAGGGCACCAGACTGGGCAGCTCAGCACCCAAGGGCTGCTACGATATTGGCCTTCCCAGCCAGAAGTCACTCTTCCAGATCCAGGCAGAGCGTATTCGCAAGGTTCAGGAGCTTGCCGCCAAGAAGGCCGGCACCAGCAGCGCTGTCGTGCCGTGGTACGTCATGACCTCCGGCCCCACTCGCGGCCCCACGGAGAAGTACTTCCAAGAGAACAACTACTTTGGCCTGGACAAGGCCAACGTCTTCATCTTTGAGCAGGGCGTGTTGCCTTGCATCTCGAACGAGGGCAAGATTCTGCTCGAATCCAAGGGAAAGGTTGCCGTCGCCCCAGATGGCAACGGGGGTATCTACCAGGCGCTGGTTGTGTCAGACGTCATGGGCGACATGCGCAAGAGAGGCATTGAGCACATCCACGCCTACTGCGTCGATAACTGCCTTGTCAAGGTCGCTGACCCTGTCTTTATTGGTTTCTCAGCTTCCAAGGATGTCGACATCACCACCAAGGTGGTGCGTAAGCGCAATGCCACCGAGTCTGTGGGCTTGATTTTGCTCAAGAACGGCAAGCCCGACGTTGTCGAGTACTCCGAGATTGACAAGGAGACGGCCGAAGCCCAGGATACTAAGCAGCCCGGAGTTCTCAAGTTCCGCGCTGCCAATATTGTCAACCACTACTACTCTTTCCGCTTCCTCGAGAGCATTCCCCAGTGGGCGCACAAGCTGCCCCACCACATTGCGCGCAAGAAGATCCCCTACGCTGACCTCAAGTCCGGCGAGACGGTCAAGCCCGAGAAGCCCAACGGTATCAAGCTGGAGCAGTTCGTCTTTGACGTCTTTCCCATGCTTGATCTCAGCAAGTTCGCCTCCATGGAAGTGAAGCGCGAGGACGAGTTTTCGCCGCTCAAGAATGCCCGCGGCACGGGAGAGGACGACCCCGACACCAGCAAGCGCGACATCATGCTTCAGGGCAAGCGCTGGCTCGAGGCTGCCGGTGCTGTTGTAACCGGTGCAAGCGAGGAGGACGGCGTCGAGGTCTCTCCTCTCTTCAGCTACGTAAGTCGGCACTCTCTTGACATGGTGTGCATGCAAAAACTAATCTCTATACTTATAGGGCGGCGAGGGACTGGAGAAGCTCAGCGGCAAGGAAGTCAAGGCTCCTGCCGTGTTGGAGATGGAGTGAATATGTAGAGCGTAATGACATGGGACGATAGGCGTTTACGACCGAACCACGGGTTTCGATAAAATATCCGGGTTGATACCTAGGCCAAAGGTTGCACAATGATCTGCGCTGCTTCGACTTCCGGAGCACGTATAAAAAAGTATTGATTCGTTGCCAAGCTGGAAATGGAATGTGTGAAGAAAGCCCTCGTGCCTCAGCAACCGACCATGTTTTCAGCAGACTCATACCGTCATAGTATGGTTGCTAGTTCTGATCCCTTCGCATGGATGCTTCATTTATCCTGAGGTTCACCTTGTTATTGCCAGGGAATACTCAGTGCCTTTGGTCAAATATCATCTCCAGGGCAGCCAATCGAAGGAAATGCAGGTGGGAGGCGTAAAAAAAGGGAAAGAATGCAGGGCGCGGAAGATTATCTTACCTTGCACCGTTGCCAAGCATTTCGAACCAGATCTTAGGGGCATCTGGAAATTCCTTACACTACTGTAGATTCACCTCGAAGTTTGGGTATGCCTGCCAAGGCCTGCCACTGGCGAGTTGCAACAGAAGTGCACACTGTGCCCGAGTTCGCGGGGGAAATTTGTCTAAATCGGGATTGGATGAACGCACACACACCACAAAAAGAGAAGCACATGGAAGAGCCCTTGACTAAGATTTCTCCTTCTGAACTTGAAGTACGAATGTTTACCCGAGGAGCCTCTTCTTTTTATGGAGAACGGATGATAGAGAAGAGAGGAATACTCCGTATTCCGTAGACAAAGGGGAAGAGAAAAGGAGAGCCTGGGTTGTGATTCATGCGCCCACTTCACTTTTTGCACAGGTGACCTCGGCTCCTCGGCGCGAATACACAGTAGGTGGGTAGACCCATCTTGCCCGGTAACGAACGGAGAAAAATGCCCGGGTGATGAAGATATGACGAAGGCGGAGGGTCAAGCCCAACTTTTTGGAGACGAGAACGGCAGAGGAGAGTACTCCGTAAGGTAGAGTTGGTTGCCTGGACTTTTTGAGTTATAGTGACAGAAATGGTGGGGGAGGACAGGAAGGCGTTTCGTCTGGCTCTCTGGATTATCGGGTGAAGGAGAATCGGTCAGAGACTCTGGGAAGATGGAGGGGTAATTTTTTGGGTCATGACATCAGCAGACAAACACAGAATCTGACTGGACTGTTTTCTCTCCAGTGGTTTCTTTCTCTCATTTGATGAGGGGGGAGAAGAGCGACGAACTCAGTCCCCAGCAAACAAGAAAAAAAAGTGTCACGAGTACCTTTAGTTACACCGCCGAGTCAGGCGGCTGGCCCAATCTAAGGGGGAACAGGAGTGTGGAGTGTCGTATTCATTCTGTGCAGAGTACGAGGATTACTTGCTCTGTATTTCCGTGAGGTAAGGTATCCGTAGGCAGGCAATTAAATGGGAGAGGTTGGTGCTGAAGATATTGATCTTGTTATTGTGTTTCAGTCTTCATTGTGAACCCTGTGAAGGTTTGAAGGAACGACTAAAGGCAGGAACGAGTAGGCACGGACATGGGGAGGAATGGCATCTGGGGAAATGAAATTCAGTTGTGTTGCGCCCAAATTGAACGTGAACTTGCAGAAATGAATTCCTCTACCAAGGTACGAAAAACTAGTAGGTACTTACCTATCTCGGCATGCCACTTAGGCACACAGTGAAGAAGGGCCTCGGCTTAAGGTGGCTCATGTATCCGTAAGTTAAGCCCACCGGGCCCTTTTTCCTCGTGCCACGGAATGCCAGGCCAGCTCATCGTCCTAGCCCGGTTCTCCTAATGCCGGCAATGGCGGCCATGTTAGCGTCCATGGTCCCTTTTTCGAACCTGGGCCAAGTGAAATGCGGTCCATGCCAGTGAGATTTGTGAGGTGAGTGCGGCGCGCCGTGGTAGACCATAGCCCTGAGCTGGGCCGACCAGGGGTTGTTTTTTCCATTGGGGTGGGTTGGCCGTAGCGCTCTTCCCCAAAACGGTGAAAGTGGTCCGGGGGTTGTCCTTTGGGGGTTGAAATCTTTTTTTTTTCTGGCCATGGTAATGGTCACAGGCGGTCGGTCTCCCCATTTGCTGGGCAGATGCAATTCAATGTCCACCTTCACATGATCCGCGGCAGCCAGCGTTAGGTAAGGCGGAAAGAAAGAAAAAAAAAAGGGCAGCCTTGGCTTGCCGTAGCTTGTTGGGCCCAGCGACCAACAAGCAGGGGTTGGCTGCTGGGCTGCTGCTTTCCCTCCGCCCCTGTCCGCGCCAGGTCGCCCCCCCGTACCTCACCCTCACAGGTCGCTCCTCAGGATCGCCCGCGAGCGCCGCCCGCGAGCGCCGCCTTTCCTTCTAGCTCCCTGGTCTACGCTACTGCTACATACCAAGGTACCTTGCTGCTGCAGCTGCTGCCGGTCTACGAATAGTCGTCCTTCCCCAAGAGGATTCAGCTTCGTCATCTTTGCACCATCCTATCCCATCGTCTACGAACTGCTGAGCGCGAGCACATACGGATACATATGTACCCAGGAAAAGCTGCTTGATCCTCTCTCTTCTAAGCTCTTTCTTGCCCTTCTCCCCTTCGCCTCCGACCCCGCGAACCCCCAAACTCTAATCGTGATTCACTGTTCACTGTACCTATTCTCTTCGACTAAAACAGGCGTCCTTTCTATCCGTGATCCTCTTAGCCCGACCCATCCCTCACGAACGAACGAACGAACACTCTTAGCCCCCTTCCACTCCCTTGCTGTGTGCGCGCGCATCTCTCGAACTCAGCCAGCCTCTATCGACTACGGATACTCAACCATCACTGTCGCTCTCTCTTTCGCCCCTCCCACTTCCCTTCCCACCCTCGTCCCCTGCATCCCAATAATAACTATCCACGAGCTTCCCCAACAATTACGCTTTCGCCTCCGCACACCTCGCGGCACAGCTCAACCCAGCTAGCCGACTACCGGCCTTGCCTAGGTTCGAGAGACCACAACATCTCGACCAAGAAAGCCGAACCACTGTCGTCTGTGTTCCTACGTCCCGGCTCGCCTGTTACAAGATACCGGCCCTCCAACCTGTTGCAAACGGCGACACAACTTCTCAGTCGCCATGCAGTACGTACGGAATCTCAGCGCCTCCGTCTCTTCAACATGGAATTCCATAAACCCGGCAACCCTTAGTGGTGCCATCGATGTCATCGTCATCGAGCGAGAGGACGGCTCTCTCAACTGTTCGCCTTTTCACGTGCGCTTCGGAAAGTTCTCTCTGCTGAGGCCATACGAGAAGAAAGTCGAATTTAAGGTCAACGGCGTCAAACAACCCTATTCCATGAAACTCGGCGAGGAGGGAGAGGCCTTCTTCGTCTTCGAGACAAGCGATACTATCCCAAGGGATCTGCAGACTTCGCCTTTGGTCTCCCCAGCGTCGAGTCCCCCCTTGAACCCAGAGAACCCCTCTTCGCCTGGACTCGGAGAGCCAGAGTTACTGGATCTGGATTCTGAGGCTTCCAAGCCTCGACGACCGCCTCCATCTGTCCTACACGCAGCAACATTCGGACCCGGACCCCATGGTTTGTTCCTCACTTGCCCTACCATTATCGATCTTCTGTAAGGCAGCAAATGCTAACTGCTATAGGGCTAAACACACCTCTATCAACATCCCCCGACCTTTCATCCCACGCACGACTGAGATCGGAAGACTGGGATTCTTCAGCCGCCCAGCGCCCTTACAGCGATGATATCTTGCGCAAATCAGCTCGAACGAGCGACCGAGTATTCGGCGAAGGCCTGACCGACTTCGCCATGTCCGAGCGATCACAGAGCCCTCCTCCATTGGCACCCAAAGAAGCGCTGGAACGTGCTCTTATGCTTTCCAAGGAGCTGTCTGCCAACAACATTCCTAGCCATGTCACCGAGAGCGGTGACCTCATGCTTGACATGACTGGATTCAAGAGCAACGAAGAAGATGTGTTCCGCGCCGAGATTCTTGCGCGAAAGATTCTCTCCGAAGAGCTCGAGGGCCCGTATGACATTGGCTCGCTTTTCGGTATGGACGAGCATGGAAATATCTGGATCTACAGCAGCGAGGAGGCCAAAGAGGCCGCAAAGAAGAAGACCATGGAAGCTGGCTACCGCCTCCATTCCGTGATCGCGGCGGATGCTGCGTCCGACCCGGGATACCAGAGCGACGGTAGCGATGTGACTACCACCGTGCCGCCTCCAAACCATCGAAGGACCGAGTCAGACGCCGGTGCTTCTGGCCTGCACACTCCTCCTACGACGCCTCCTCAATCGACAGCTGGAGACCCGAACTTGAATTACGCAAAGACGCTGAGGCTGACTAGTGATCAACTGAAAGACCTATGTCTGAAGCCTGGAGAGAACACCATGAGCTTCACCGTCAACAGGGCAACGTGCCAGGCCAACATGTACTTGTGGAGGCATGAGACGCCCGTTGTCATCTCGGACATTGATGGCACGATTACCAAGTCGGACGCTCTTGGCCACGTTCTCAACATGATTGGCCGTGACTGGACGCACGCTGGAGTGGCCAAACTCTACAGTGACATTGTCGCAAACGGATACAACATCATGTACCTGACCAGTCGATCAGTGGGTCAATCCGATACGACTAGGGCGTATCTCGCCGGTATTCAGCAGGGTGAATACCGGGTGCCGCGGGGGCCTACCATTCTGTCCCCAGACCGGACCATGGCCGCACTTCGCCGCGAGGTCTACCTCCGGAAACCTGAGGTTTTCAAGATGGCCACTCTTCGGGATATCCGTAATTTGTACGGCCCTGATCGGACACCATTCTTTGCTGGATTTGGAAACCGTCTCACGGACCAGATTTCGTACAGGACAGTGGATGTTCCCAAGAAGCGGATCTTTACCATCAACTCCAATGCTGAGGTTTCCCTCGACTTGCTCACGTTGAACAAACTCAAGCTGAGTTACATCAACATCAATGAGGTTGTCGATCACTTCTTCCCTCCCGTCAGCACTCTGGTCAAGGGTGGTGGAGAGGAGTATACAGACTTTT